GAGGCATTGATATTGCCAGTAGAGTTTACTAGAAATATACATAAATATATGCACACATATAAACAAAGTTTTCCTATGAATGAGACTCAGCAAGTTCAAAAAGCTACTCCAGAGGCCCCAGTAAAAGCCCACATAAACAGACAGATAAAAGAGTGAAAGGCAAAACATCCTTCCTCCAGCAGGCATCCTCTGTCCCAGCAGCATTTCCACACAAGCCTGCATTTCTGTGCCATACTGTCCATCATTAAATCTCCATTGGGGATGGCTGGTGGATGGGTCATGCCAAACTTACCAGCTGGGAAACAAAAGTCCAGAGGGGAAAAAGGAAAAGAAAGGCACTTATGCAAGGTTGCAGACTGACCTGCTCCAATTTGCATAGCAAGGATTTCAGTTACAAAACAAATACTAAATGTTAAATATAGCCAAGGAGGAGGCTTTATTCACCAGGGCCAGCTTCATGCTGATAGGAGCCACAGAGGTAGCAGAGTACATGACATAAACCAGCCAAATATGAGGCTACAAAGCCCACTGAACACAACTGGAGGGGCCTCTTTCTCTAGGGGGGTTTGTTCTGCAGCCAGGACAGTCCCTGCAGCCAGGGGAGGCACCTGCAGGTCATCAATGTGAGTGTTCACAAAGGATGGGAAAGTCTCGTTTGCTTCAACAGGCAGCTGCTTTCTGTGCCTGTCAGGCTACTGAAGAGTTTCCAGTGCTAATTACAGAACACAGAAGTTGTCAAAGCATGATGCAACTGAGAAACAGGGGAGGAATATGCCAAAGGAAGAAAAAGAGAAAAAGAACAGATCAGCCAGAGAAATCCTTTGTCAGAGACTATGTCAGAAGCTGGTGCCTCAGGCTGGGAGCCTTCCCTGCCCCAGCAGAGGATGTGCTGCAAAAGAAGTTCATGAAATTCAGGCTGCAAAATTGTTCAAAAGAAGTTCATGCTGCAAAAGAAATTGTTGCTTTTTGTCAGTGAAACACCTTTTCCCTTTGTACAGACAGGCAGATAATAGGCACGGTGACAACGACAACAACAAAACAAAGGGGAAGACACGCACTACAGAAAACAGTTCACACCGAGCCAGGCTGCCCAGAGAGGCTCTGAAAATTCCTGCATTGCTACGTTACTCTTTGAAAAATAAAAATCTTCAAAGCTCTGCCTTGAATGACAGGTGAAGACAGATCCAATCTGGAACAGACAGATGGATCCAATGAGTTCTTGAAGTTTCTGTGAAATCTTCCCAGGATAACCAATATCCACGTGGTCTTTACTACACTATGCAAGTTATTCAGTAAAATAAAACAGAATTAATTTTGACCAAGAGCTCTGGCACAGGCAATACAATTTAATTTGCATTACCTTTTTAAAGGAAGCATGAGTGAAAGCAGAGGAAAGGGATTTATAAGGAGCAAAAAGGGATTTAAAAGTTCCAGGATCCACATACCCAACATTCCCAGAGCATTTCATTCACAAACCTCAAAGGAGGTCAGAATTACAACACCCTTTTTGGACCTGGGAGCAACAGATAGAAATAAATTATTTTTCTCAAGACTTCTGAAAAAACAGTGGCAGAGATGGCACCACTATCTCCCTGAATATCTAACCCATCAAAGCACTTGGGAAGTCCTTCTGGAGGGTTTGTTTTGTAGACACACAGTATAAATATTTTTAAAAATAATCATTTGGCTTTCACAGGCACAAATGGAATTATCAAGGGAATCAACAGCAGAATTCAGAGCATAAACTCTCAAAATAAACCAAAGTTTAGAGTCCCTTTGTGCTTCAGCAGACTGGGATGAGGAGATGGAGACTCCATGACAGGCTCAGAAACTGCAACATGGAATTTTGCCAGTCTGTGCCACATTCCTCTGCAATTATGCAGGTGATGAAACATTAGCTCAATACAAATAAATAACTGAAATGAAAATATCACTTAATTTCAGTGCCAGTTCAAGTCAGCACCATATTTAATTCCATCATTCTGAAGTCAAAAAACCCAAAAAACAAAAAACCAAAAAATATTAAAAAGTTGGCTTTATTTCTTCACACATCTTTCTTTGCTTATGCTGCATCTGAGCCAGCCAAGGCTGTTTTATAGACACAGTTTCACTTATTTAGAATGGGATAATAAAAACTGTACCAGTGTATGGGAATGATTTCCAAAAGGTCTAATGCAGAAACATTGTAGTTTGCTGTAGGTTTTATTTAAAAGGGGTTTCAACAGGATTTTTTTTTCAGGAATAGCAGAAAGTATCAGTCACATGCACAGAAGTAATTTTTCCACAACAAGAGCTACTGCACAATCATATAAAAGCAAGAAATTAAATCCAGCTATGAGGGAAGTGCATTTGCTTTGTCCTGCTCAGCATCAACACTCCACAGAGCACACAGACTGCTCTCAGCAGAGCAGGGAAAGGCTCCAAGAGCACGGGGGAGCTGCAGAAAGAGACTCTGTACAATGGTACACTGAGAATTCTGTGTGTCCCACCAGTGTCAGCCACGGAGAAAGAGCTTCCATGTGGGATAAGACAGAGAGGACCCACAGGGAAAAAACAGGAATGGAACAGGGCACAAAAAAGACCAAGCCCAATTCCTTACTCTAACCTGGGATTCTGGAATGAGCATGGACAGTTCATCTTTATTCAGCAACTTAACGTGGTTGTTTTAAAAAACTGACCAGTAAAACAAAGCCCAAGTCATGCTGGAGTCTGACATCACCAGCACTATCATCCAAGGTGCTCTCTCTGGCCAACAAGACCCGAAATTCTACCATAAACACCACAAGAACAGTGATAAAAGAATAACAGCCAGAGACTGATTATTGGGGGCACTTAAGTCAGCAACAGAGGAAAAAACAGTGCTCTCAACCCATGTCAGCAACTTCCTTGGTCATTCTTGAGCCCTTGGGAGATGGAGAGGAAAAGAGTCACAAGGTATTTATAAAAGGCATCCATGAAAAAAGAGATCTCTCCATAAATATCTACAGATAGCTCTATAGATAAGTGCACACCAGTGTCTAACACAGGCTAGCAACAAGTCACATTCAGGCCTAGCTACTCATACCTGGCCTTTCCCAGAGCTCTAAAAGTATATAAACCTTTCCCAGAGCTTTAAAAGAATCTAAACTTTGCCATGCATTGTACTCTCTGCAAAGTGGTACCAACACCATGTACCTGGGGTATGCAACTCGCTTTATACATTGTCTCCTGTCCTCTCCAGAATTATAAAACACCCTCTCAAAAAAACCAAATTAATTTCCCCAAGTTTCATGGACAGAGGCAGCATTTTGATAAATAAACCCAACAGCCTCAATCAGGAGGTGGAACACACACCTTGACCCATTTTAACCACCCAATAACACAATGGAAGAATCAACCTGGATCTCCTTACAGAGCCACATCCCTTGGTACCAAAAACCCCCCTTCTGGTTTCTCCATCACTTCTTCTGCCAAACCAAAAAGCACAAGTGGGGATGAAGAGGAAACACAGCAGGAACTGCTCCTTGCTAGATAGATTATGGCAGCCTCCAAGGCTCGAGGAGTCCACACCAACCTTGGCCTATAATCCCATCCACACTGATTCTAAGAGCATCTCCTGAGAAAACACATGAGGTCTCCCTTAACTGAAGGCAGCCCCACATCTCTGTTCCTGAGATGACAGACAGGCTCCAGCACAGCCTCTCCCTGCTGTGCTGCAGTGGCTGGTGCTAACGTTGTCACTTGTGCCGTGTCTCGGAGCTGAGCCTTTGAAGTCCTGTACTCCCAGAGATTTCTGGTAGGCAGTGACAACTTTCATGAGAACACAGCTGTTTGATGCAGACTCCCTCCTTCCTAATCCCTGGCAGGCTCTAACAGCAGGCAGGTAATTTCTTAAAATGCTGTATCTCACAGCAGCTGTAAGACCAGGAGCTGCACTACGTTCAAAGGCATCGCCACACCAGCAATGACAGACCCGTGCTGATCACCGGGGCTCTCTCGGAGCACTGATGGGGAGAGGAATGCTCTTACCAGGCAGCTGGGCAGAGGCTAAGGCCAACAAGCCTAGCCAGGCACCCCAAATATATCTCTGTCCACGTGCAGACCAGTTCTTGAGTTGCAAGTCACCCTCAAGGAAACACTTCTAGCCATCAGTAATGGATGGACGGGTAAAACTTGACATCCATTCCAGCAGGATGAGTTTCTGAGACAAGGTTTGTAGGCCTGTGAGACTGATGCTCAGCAGAGCAGCAAATAACACTCGGTGCTGACACAGTGCTTTGTCTCCCAGCGCTTCCAAAACGCCGCTGCAGCCTCTCTGGATGCTGTGGAGATAACAACTCGTGCCTCTGCCTCCATCCCTGGACGCTGCCCCAAACACCCTTTGCTGTTTCGGGTCAGGAGATGCCAGGGGCAGAGCCCTCCTGCCTCTGCCTGGCTGCTCATGCCAATGTCAGCAGCTCAGCCTGGGCCTTCCTCAGAAGCACATCTCGCACCAGACAAAAACCCCACATCAGATCCTGCAGGATGTGGTTCATGTCAATATCTGAATCGTTAAATAAGAAAAACCGAGCGAGTACACTGAGCCCGGCAAGCACTCAAGCCTCCCAAAGACAAAAGACAAATTTCCTCCCATTCCGAACCCAAAACTCGCTGGGCACCGAGGCACGGATGCTGACACCCCCTCCCACCTCCGTCTCCATGGCACCGGGCCGCTCCGGGCGCGCCTTTGCCGCGACCCAGGCGCGGGGAGCGCGCACCCGCGCCCGCCCGGGGCTCTCGGGGGTGCGCGCCCCCGCAGGCCGCACCCGCCCGGAGCCCTCCGCCGCCCGCGGTGCCGGGGAAGCCGCCCGGGATGCCCGGTGCCTTTCCCAGCCCAAGGACAATGCCGCCCATCGGTTCCGAGCGGCGCATCCCCGCTGCCCGGGCTCCTCCGCACTCTCTCCATCCATCCCTCCCTCCCTCCATCCCTCCCTCCTTTGTTGTGCCGCGGCTGGCCGGGCGCTGCCCGCTGTCCCCCTTACCCTGGGCTGCCCGGCGGAGCGGGGCAGGGGGCTCGGTGCCCCGCAGGATCCAGCCCGGCCGGCAGCCGCCCTGCCACTCCCTGCGCGGCCGAGCCGGGAGCCGGAGGAGGGATCTGGGCGGCGGCTCGGGCGGCGGGGGCGGAGGAGGATGCGGGGCCGGCTCCCCGCTCGCTGCCGCTCCCGGCTCACGGCCGGGCCCACGCGAACAAAGGGGCCGGTCCGGGGCCGCCCCGCGCCGAAATCCTGCTGGTTGCCGGGCCCTGGCGCCTCCCGGAATGGGGTGGAAGGGTGGAAAGGCGGCGCGGAGGCTCCTCCTGGCTGCCCGCAGCCCCGAGCGCCGCTGCCCTAAAATCCGAAATAATCGTAAAATCGCCTTTTGCTCGCTGGAGCCGCCGCCTCCCTCCCCGCGGCTCTGGGAAGGAAGAGCTCTCCAGGCACACCTGGATTTTGGTGGTAGCGATTTTGATTGATACAAGAAGGGAAGGGCAGGAAGAGCTGGCGATGCTTCCCGTATAAAAAAAGGAGAGACCCGTAATTAGCCAGAATTTAACGGGGAACGCAGCAAAGAGAACACACCTGCAGCCTCGGGAACGCGTTGATTCAAAGCAAGGACGGCCAGGCTGAGGTGGTGACCGTCCCTTGGCCTTCACCACGTCCTGCTGCTCCCTCCCAGAGCCGTGCCGGGGCTGACATGCACGGGGATACAACGAGCAGGGCCGGGCAATCCTTCAGACTGGAAAACCCCTTTAAGCTCACGGAGTCCAACCACTCCCCCAGCACTGACAAGGCCACCGCTGCTCCGTGTCCCCAGGTGCTAATTCTACACATCTGTTAAATCCCTCCAGGGATTGTGGCTCCAGCACTGCCCTAGGCAGCCTGTGCCAGGGCTGGACAACCCTTTTGATCAGGAAATTTTCCACAATATCCAATCCAAACCTCCCCTGGTGCTACTAGAGGCTGTTTTCTCTTGTTCCCTGGGAGCAGAGCCTGACCCCACCTGGCTGCACCTTCCTGTCAGGGATTGTGGGGAGAGAGAAGGGCCCCCCTGAGCCCCCTTTTCTCCAGGAAAAGGAGCACCCCAGCTCCCTCAGCCACTCCTCATCAGACTTCCATGCCGGACCCTTTGCAGCTCTGCTGCCTTTCTCTGTACATGTTCCAGCACCTGTCTAGTGCCTGTGCCCTGCAACTGCCTCCCTAATTTAGACAGGAGTGTCTAAATTAGTGCTTTGCACAAGGGCCATAACTCTACTCAGTGTACTTCATTACCTCTACAGACACCCACATCACCCAAGGGGCAGCCCAGGATATTTTGCACATCAGATGCTGGGGTGGAAGGCCCCAGGGTATGCAGAAACAGAGGAGGCTCCCACCCAGCAGCAATCCCCAGATTTGCTGCTGTGACGCTGCTCTGTTTTGCCTGCAGGAGCCAAAAAAAGCAGAGATAGAAATGAAGGAGGTGCAGGCACCAAAGCAGAGAAGAATGGAGCTGAGGTCAACTGGGCATCACCCAGAATATGAGATTTGACAGTCCTGGCTTTAGCAAGATGATCCAGTCCCAGGAGGCAGCTGCAGACATCCTCATTTTTCATCTTGCAGAGAGGAAGCCAAAGTAAGAAGTGAAATGGCTGGTCCAAGCCAAAAATAGAACCTGAAGCACCTGACTTCAACGCCTCTGCTTCAACTGCTAGTTAGCTGTAATTCCCTGACATTTTCCTACATCCAAGCTCAAGTCATTGCTTTGCAGTCTGTATACAAGAATTTTAGTCTCCTCTCCAATCTATAGTTGCCTAGGGAGACAGTATGGTGCCAGGAGAAAAGTGAGATGAGAAGGTGCCTATTGAATCAGGCTTGGGCTCCAACAGGACTTCTCACTTCTCCATCCAGCTCCACCCCTGATTTGCCAACTCAGTCAGTCCCTGTCCTTAGGTCCAAGTCTCTTTCCTTATTCAAGTGGTGGTAGAGCAATGATGGTGACCTCCCTCTGTGAGACTAACAAGAAGCATTACGTGCACACATGCATTTGGTAAGGAGGAGTATAAATTTAAAGAAGTTCTGGGAAAAAAAAATCCTCTTTAATATTTTCAGGTGCTTCAGGGTAGGATTTCAAATCAAGAATTGCTTAGAAGTTAAACCTCATTTTTGATCAATTGTACAATTTTATGCTCAATTTTATGTACAGTAACTTGTTCTCAGTACAAATAACCTCCACATAAATGTTTAAATTACAGCCCTGTTCTACATGACAAAGAAGGTCAGCAGGTCTGGGGTTATATTTTGCCTGCAAAAGGTACGTGGTACCCACAGCAGCTCTGGGAGGAGAATCAAGCCCACTGCCTTCAATACGATGAAGCTAGAAAAAAGTTCACAGCTCTTGCAGTCATTTCCTTGAATCATTTTGACAAATCTGCCTCTCTGCTAAACTTTCTCTAGGGAATTTCCAGGGAGAGCAAGAAAGATCATGCAGGGACAGAGCTCTGGCAGTGATGTGGCTGAAGTGCCTGTAGACTTGAATTTGTGTCTTCTATCAAGTGCTCTCCCACAAAGCTGTCCCTCAGCTTTTGTTGTACCTGCTTGTCACAAAGCTTCAGGGTGACTACAAATGTTGAAATGCCATCATCCCACAGACACTACTATTTCCCAATAACCATTTCTTTATTCACAGGGGCTTATGTGCAGGCAAAGAACTCCTCACTGATGTCCCAGACACGGGAGAGCACAGGAGACACGTAAGTTTTAGCCTTGTTAATTTTACACAAGTGAGCAGAATAATGACTTTAATTAAACCATTATGTGTAGAGAGCTGGTATGTAATCTCTGACATCTCTGGGCTATCACATTTGCCTGATAATACTCTCTACTACCCTCTTGTTTTCTGTGACATGATATATATCTTGTTTTGAAAAGTGGCTTCTCACAGATAGGCAAAACTGTCTCCACTTGACTGATCCATTTCTGGGATTTGACAAGTATTTGCATTAGCTGTTGGGATCTCTAAAAAACTTCACTGCTCTTTTCTTTTAAATTACTCTGACAGAAGCATTACACAGACAATGTAATGTAAAAACCAAGGGAATACTCATGCCTGCATCTAGGGAAACAAAAAGAGCAAACATTTTGTGTTTTGCTGTTATCTATATTGTTTAAATAAACACAGACAAAATGTTCAAGTACCTTTCCATTTTATTTACCAGCATTAGAGATAAAGCACCTCTCTGCAAAGAGCTGATGAGACACTCAACTTGTCACATACCAGTAAGTTACCCACCCTAATGCCCCAATCCTTCACTTGTTCCCCAAAGGCTACAACCTTTTAAAGATGACAGTTCACATAAAGGCCACATGAAGGGGTGGCATCAAGACCCCAGGTGCCAACAAGGGCTTGAGTTAAATCCCTTCATTCTTTTCCCTACCACAGGCCTACAAATCCCTGCCTATGTACTGTGGGAATTGAGTGGTGGCAGAAACTATATTTGAAAGCATTGCACAACTTCATTACTGTCAACTTTCAGTTATGTGATTTCCAGCACCTCAAAGGTGCAGCTGCAATGACAGTGTAAGCTCCTACTGTTCCTTCAGGCTGACACTATAAAGAGCCTTCTGCATCTGGGGGCAGAACACAAAATTCCAGCATTGGTGGGAGGAACAAGATTAAAGCAGTGATCTAAAGACAAGCTGTTTTTTTCCTTTGATTACAGAGCTGCTGAAAGACCTTCTTATCCTGAGGATCAGTGGCTGCTTTAGGCCTTACTCATGCCAGGCCAAGACTAAAGTTCAGAAACTTCTTATAAACAGTCTTTAAATTAAGATCTTGCATGGTTGCAATGATTCAGCCAAGTGGTGGCATATTTTCAGGCATTTGTTATCTGACCCAGAGCCACCAGAAAGCCTCTAATATCCAGCAGATTCTGTTGTGTCTAGATAGGTGAGAGAAACCTCTCGTCTTCAGACATTTATATCCAAGCCAACTGTCTAGGCTTTCTGTATAATGAGTGCAGAGGAACAGGCACTGGGGTAGAATTCCCCTCATCGTACTGCAGGCACCTAAAAGGGATTAATTGCTCTCTAATGATGCTCTCTTCCATCAATGAATTAAAGAGATATTTGAGAACTAGCCAAATGAGGTGTTTAAAGTTGTGATGTGAATCCCACTCATCTCCCTTCCAGAAACACTCAGCACAGCTGATGGAGGTTTTTTGGGTACACATAGCTCAGAGGTGTGTGCTGGGGACACTCTTGTCTGAAGGCCTCACTTTGTTCTGTTTCACTGGAAGAAATGAGACTGTTGGATTCAGCTGTCTAAGGTTGAATTCAGGATTCAGGAACCCAGAATTCTGCATGGGCAAGGTCTGGCTCCAGGACCCTTTAGGGGAACACACGTGGCTTGTGCAGTGTGCTGGAAAGTGCTTTGTGAAAGACTTTCTACCAGCTGACTTCTGTGAGTTCCTGTATATTTCTTAACATAAAAGGAAGTGTGGGTAGAAATATGTTGAAGGATCATGGCAGTTCTCATTAATTATGAAGATCAAGAGGAGCTCTTACTGCTTTTTTGGTGTGTTTCCTATACTGAAATTAGAGCAATAGCTGTTACTTAAACTCCAACCATCAGTATAATGTCATCATTAACACAGTCTAGTTCCTGTTATTCCACATTTTGAAAGTAAACTACCTTGCTGCAGTAGCAGTGATTCTGAGGAATGTGGGACAGCACTCCACACAAATACAAACCAGTAAGATGGATCTGCAGAATTGAAGAAATAGTGCCATTTTCATCACAAAGGCTATTTCCTGCCCATGAGCCCAAAGGCACGTGGATGTTTAGAGAAATTCAGCATCCATTAAGTGGAGGCCTTCTGAAATTCTGTGTTTGTCCAAATACCCTATGCAAGTTCACACTGGCAGTGGAGAATTTGGAATAGCTCTTTTATTAAGTCAGTAGATTATTGTCAGTCTTTCATCTGAGGATGAAGCTCCTCTTTACAGATGAAGTAAATGAGTCATAGAGAGAAGAAATAATATCTGTGAACATAGCTGTTCATTCAGCTGAAACAGAAATGTGTTGGTTGACATCTGCATTTCAGAGTCAAACATCTACAGCTAAGCATGACTGAAAAAAAGCAATACAGGAGG